TTCATTTGGAATTAGTTCTGGCATAGGGTTGAAACTTTGACTGGTAGCTATTTGAAAAGGAGTGTAACCTGTGCTGGAGTGGACTGCATTATTGTAGGCAACTTCTGCAAAAGGGAGTAGGTCCGTCCAATCCAACTGCTGGAAATTAATAAAGCATCTTAAATATTGTTCAAGTACTGAGTTAGATTTCTCTGATTGATCGTTCCCCTGAGGATGATGACTAGATGTCAGTCCCTGAGTGGTCTCTAAAAGGGATAAAAATTCCTTCCAAAATGCAGGCATAAATTGCACTCCCCTATCAGATATGATGCATTGGGTTGCCCCATGCAATCTGTAAATATGCTGCATGAAAAGTTTTGCTAAGGCTTTTGCAGTGGGAATCAATGACAATGGTCATTGACCTGTTTGGAAAACAAGTCAATGACCGTTCCGATGACAGTATTCCCATTGCTTTCTGGTAATTCCACTATAAAATCCATGGCTATTTCCCTCCAGGGGGCTGAGGGATTTGCCACTGTTTGTAATAGTCCGGGCGATTTCCCTTGCAACCTCTTTGCGCACATTGGGCAGCTGGCCACGTAACTTTCTATGTCCTTTTTCATGGATGGCCATCAAAATTGCCTTTTAATTAAGTGTAATGTTTTTACAAATCCAAAATGCCCTGCTGATTTTGTGTTCTTTCCCTCTGGCAAGTGCTTGAGCATAAAGTTGAATTGGTGAAAATGTTGGGACCAGCGAGCTTGCTTGGGGTTGAGCTTCCTAGGTGTTTTCAAGGCTTCCAGGTTTTTGTGGTCTATCCACACCTGAAAAGGGATCTTATTCCCTTCAAGGAATTGGCGCCATGTAAGTAATGACCAACATATCCCATATGCCTCTTTCTCCCACATGGGCCAGCGCTGTTCTGTTTCGGTGAGTTTCTTGGATGTATACGCGCAGGGTTGCAATACCCCTTCATTGTTTTCTTGTAATAGTACAGCCCCCACTGCCACATCACGTGCATCTGCCCATATTATGAAGGGCTTATGTCTGGATGCCTCAGTACTGGTTCGGCAGAAAAAAGTCTCTATAACCTCTCAAATGCCGCTTCACATTCCATTGTCCATTTTAGTGGCTTCACATTCCATTTTTTCACTGAGGATTCTCCCTTGTTTTTAGTAAGTTTCTGAGGGACAGGGGTATCTGGGCAAATGAGGGAATGAATTGGCGATAAAAGTTTGCAAAGCCCAGGAAACTTTGCAGATGCTTTCTTGTGTGAGGTGGTGCCCATTCTAATACTGCTCTGACCTTCCCTGGGTCCATTTCAATGCCCTGTGGGGATATGTGATAACCCAGGTAGTCTATTCTTTCTTGATGGAATTTGTATTTTGATAATTTGGCATATAGGTGGGCAGCTCGCAGTTTCTTTAAAATCGCTCTGACTAGGTTGACATGTTCCTGTTTGGATTTGGTGAAGATAAGGATGTCGTCTAAATAAACCAGGACTCCCTTAAATAGGCATTCCCTTAGTACCTCATTGATTAATTGCATAAATACTGCGGACCCCCTTGTAATCCAAATGGCAAAACGTTGAATTGGTAGCACCCCATTGGGCAATTAAATGCGGTCTTCCATTCATCCCCTTCCTTAATTCTCATGCGATAGTATGCTTCCCTTAGATCTAGTTTAGTAAAAAAATTTCCTTTTGAGAGGAGTGATAACATGTCCTTCATGAGGGGTAGGGGGTATAGGTTGCTTTCACTGATTGTATTTAGGAGCCTGTGATCCATGCATAAGCATAAAGAGCCGTCCTTCTTCTCTCTAAAGAGGACTGGAGCAGCCACTTTAGACTTGGCAGATTCAATGAACCCCTTTCTAGGTTTTTCTTTATGAATCTTTCCATTTCTTCCTTCTCTTGGCTCATGGAGTATAGTCTGGGCTTCGGGAGTTTTGCCCTGAGCTTGAATTCTATGGCACAGTCCATGGGCCAGTGGGGGGGGAGCTTATCTGCCCTCCCCTCACTGAAAATTTCAGCAAGATCTCTGTATTCCTCATTTATTTTGGGCAGCTCCTTTTCTTCTCCCATGGATACTTTCTCTGTTCTTAATTTTGGTAGATCCCCTTGGGGTTTTAAGTCCATAGGGTCCCCCTTCGGGAAATTGATTTCTGCCATCCTCCAATTTACCCAGGGGTTCCATTTTTAACCATTCCAGCCCTAGGGTCATCGGGCATTCCATGCCTGGGGTCACTATGAACGTTATGTCTTCCTCATGGTTTCCCAGGGATAGGTGGACTGGTAAAGTGGCTAGGGTAGCTGGCACCCCCCCTGCTATGGACCCATCTAACTGGCCAAATGAAATTGGTTGTTCTAGCCTCCTCACTGGAATGCCCAGATTCCCCACTAGCGTTGGTCTAATGAGGCAGCGGGTGAAGCCAGAGCCTATTAAGGCTTTCACCTTGACAGCTTCAGACATGGAGGAAATTAATATAGTCACTGTCTTGAGGATCGGTGTGATGGATCCACTTACCAGGGGTTCGCCCTCTGGGCTGTCATCTGAGGCATACATTGGGCCTGCAGTGTAGGCTGGAGTCCCTTCCCCACATTGGGCAGAGGTTGAGGATTCCACAGCCTCTATCACTCTCATGGCAGGTTCTTTTGGCTTAGCTGGGGACTTCCCAGATTTACTAACCAGTGATCTGTCTGGGTTATGCTGGGGGGCTTTCAAGCGGCATTCTACAGCCCGATGCCCCTCTCTCCCACATTTGAAACAGCCCATTGGATTCTTGCCATAGCTGGTGGCTTCGCTGGCTCACGCATCAGCTCAGGAGGCAAGCGGCCCCATGGTTTTCCTCGGCGGTGCCTCTTCAGTAGGTCGATCTCTGCTTCCTCTGCCAGGACATAGCACTCGTCGAGTTGTTGTGGCTCCCCCTGGGGCAGGCAAGCATTATTCAGGTCATAATTTAGGCTGTCTTTGAAATGGCTAAGGAGGATGTCTTCCAGCCAGTTCAGCTTGCTGGCAATGGCCCGGAATTCTTGCGTATATTTGGCTACCGGCATCTGCCTTGCCTCACCGTTTTGATTCTTTTGTGGGCTTTGCAATCAGCCAGGGGGTCCTCAAATCACCTTCTCAAGAGAGGACATGAAATGGTTGAAGTTTTTGAGCTCTTGGGCATCGGAATCGTGTAAATTCACCACCCAATCTGCAGCCGCTCTGTCCAGGTCGGATTGCATGATACGGATATGGGCTTTGTTGCTAGGGATGTGGCACCCATATTCCTCCATGTAGCTTAGGACTTGGGTTAGGAAAAACCCCAAGCGTGTCGGCCCCCCCTTGAATTTCGCATCCAGTTGTGGGAGTCTTTGAATGGATCATGGCCTTCGCCATTGGTGGTATTGTCTTCCATCCAAATCGCCATCTGCTGGTTGGCGGGGGTTGGGGGCTGCTGAAGTGGTCGTTACCGGATCAGCAGACTGGGACTGCAGGTTCCAATTCTCCCTCAGTGTCCCTCCAGCTGCAGCTCCAGGTACTGGTATGGTCGCGGGGCTCAGAATTCTTCTTCCCTAGGGAGCCAAGGGTTCATTTTATCAGGTTGATAACTTTCTCTAGGATCCAGTTTGAGTGCTGTGCCCAACTTCCTTCCTCTTCGTTCACGTGCAGGGATTTCTCCATCTCCTAATTCCATTCTGGTTGGTTGGCTCCCCATCTCAGGGTCACCTTTCTCTATCTCTTTTCCCACTTGTCTTTCGTTCCAACGCCCATTGACCACCAAGGTTTGTGGTTACGCATCTCCACCACCTCTTCTCCTAAGGAGTACGACATTTCAGTTCCCAACAGCTGGCAGGTTTTCGGTAGGGGAAAAGGCTCCCTCTCCGTGGGGGTTTCTCCCTTCCCTGCCTCGTCGTCTGACATTTTATTTTTTGCAAAGTCTCGTGGTAATATTCTCCCTTCCAGGTTGACTATTACTGCAGATCCTGTCTAATGTAAGGACCCACTTCAATCCATGTCTTAAGAAAGCAGAACTCTTGGAAACGGTCTCTTCCAACAGGAACTTTTATTAAAAGAAACTAATAGCAGGCATGATAGACAGGATCTGAGGGATTCCCTTACAATTTGATGTTTTAAAATGTCCCTAACTAGCCCCACCCAATCTGCAGTTCTTCCAGACGATTCAAAATGGCAGATTTCTAGGTGTCAACTCCAGGAGAGATAACATCAATCCGGCTCCGTTGGCATGATCATTCAACATCTCCTCACATAGATCCCAGATGCTGCATCATCTCCCCCCCCCCTTTTTCTCTCGTTGGCCGGTAAAGGAGGAGAAGTTCAGAGGAGCATAGGATGAAAGGCAAATGGCTACATTGTTATGGTTAGGAAATCCGAAGCAAATCAACAAAAGGTTACTTGGTAGTAAATAGAGGAAGTGAAAGTAATAAAAAACCCATGCATACCCCCTCCCTCTTAGTAGTATGACAGAATCCAGGAGAGAGTAAGAATTGGTTTTATATCAGAGAAGATAGATAGAAATGAAATATAACTGGATTCTGACAGACAGATGTTTTCAGATCGCATTCCTCATACCCCGAAGGAGGGCACTTCACATAGAATAAAGCAAAGCAACTATTTCCCCAATGCAAACACCCTTCCCCCAATAGAATGGCAGGACCCGAAAATGAATACACAGGCAAAAGCAGAAAAGGAAGAAATAAGGGAATTGAAGACAAATATAATTGATCCCTGATCAGTCAGAAACCAGTGCTCTAACTGTATTATTATCCAGGTTTCTTCAGTCATTCTGAGAATTTTGTCTCAGATTTATAGGGAATAGGCAAGGAACACTGGAGTCAAACAAAAGATTTAGTTGATTTGCTTTTGAAGTTAATAGAAGTCACAGGACTACAGAATAATATTGTTTTGGTCAGAAAAATAACAATGTACTGTTGTGGGACAAATCTGCAGGGATTTAAGGATTTCCAACAACTAGTAATTATGAACTAGGGTTATAGTATTTTTTTTTCTTTTTAGGACCTCATCAGAAGCAGCACCATCCATGTCACTACAAACCACTCCCTGAAAAATACTAAGTTGCCACAAATTATTAACCAGTTGGAAAACAATGCAAAGAAGTTCTTGAAAGACCAGAAAAATCCATCTTTATTGAATTGTGGAATAAGCTACTGTTTTAATTAATGTTTACCAAGTATGAGATGTATATAAATCTATATGGAATGAATGAAGAAAGCATGTTTGTACTAATTTTGGTATATAGTACAGTATATAATGTGAGGATCAGCTGTATTCTTATTATCAGAACAATCAATATCTATGGAAATGTAAATATTTTCATATATATAATTATAGCAATTACCTGTTACTGTAGCATATGCTACACGACACCCTGCTTTATCACTTCTTATTAATATCTTTACATAGCTTTTTAAACAGATGTAAACCATGCATTTAAACCTAAGTTATCTGTGGCTGATACAGAAAAAAACATAACAATCCCTGTCCATTTCATGATACATAGTCACATGATCTAATAATATCTATTTAGTAACCGAGTAGAATTTCAATATTCTACCTAATTTGCTTTCAGAAATCCCATTAAATGGAGAAAGATTCCTGTCCATTTGAGGAAGAAACATTATCTTGTACCCATGAAGTAAACATGAGAGTTTAAGTGGAGATTGTTTTTCCCAAGTTATGAAGAACAATAATCAAACTGTTGTTTTTTTCAGACTGGGAACTGAAACCAGATGAAGTACTTAAATTAACACTACAACACTAATTGAAATGTAAATAACGTCTGTCTCATGGCTAGATGCTACTAATATCATCGAATACATCACAAAATGGATGAATATAAGCTAGGGTTGAGGTTAAGTTTTTTGAACTAGACTTTTATTTTAGAAGTAGTTTGTCATGTGAGGTCTAGGGTCTTTTACATCTGGGAGCTATAAGTTATTCCATGACATTTTGAAACATAGGAAGCCAAAACAGTTTTCCAGTATTTCTTCTGGACTTCTTTCTCATTACCACTTCCCATTCTCATTACAGGAATTGCCTCATGCTAGTTCCTGGGAGTCTCCCTTCTACCATCATCTGTTGCCACCCTCTTGGTATCTCACAGTCACACTTTATTTATGCAGATAATGGCCTACTATAGGATTGTGGTGATGGTGATGGTGGTGGAAATAAATGCAAGTGAGGGAAGATGGAGGGAAGAATAGCAGAAAAGGTTTTTGTACACTACCACAAGATAGCAGAAAGGAATTGCAGCTGGCAAAATGTAAATTCTATAGAAGAAGCAATTGATACTGCAAAGTTATGTCAGAAAGGAAGAGAATCTAGACATTTTATAGTTACCCTTTTCAGTATGTGACCACCAATAAAGATATTTCTCTGCATATTTCTCTGCATCCAACAATATGGATGTCCCACTCAGAAGGAGCTTGTTTTTCATTTCACTATAGGAATATCTTTGCGCAAATAGAAGGATGTTTATCTGATTACTCAGGAAAACTGAATCCTCATACAGGGAGAAGATTGTAGGGCACGTGTTGACCAAGTCATGATGTCAGAATTATTTTATTAAATACTAAAATATTGACAACATCAATTGAATTAAGCTAAATCTGAAAATTTCCTGCATCTCTACTTTAAACAAAACTTTATTGAATTAAACAATGAAGTATAGGGAACTTCATGGAGAACTTTATTAACTAAGTATTTACCACATGTTTTTAGATTTAATTTTCTTTCCTCTTGTTCATTAGAAAAAAAATTAGCATCCTGTATTCTTAGAGAAACATTATCCCTCCAGTACATGCTTTGATTTATATCAAGTTAAAGGAAAAACAATGCTGTTCATAGTCACTGGAGCAGAAAATTAAAGGGTAGTCACAGTTTTTTGCATACATGTTTAATCAATCATAATACATATGATTTTTTATTTTCATAAATAAAATTAAGAATATCCTGCTTTCTTAAAGAAAAAAAAGAGGCCAAATAAATGTTTTTGAAGAGCACACAGGAAAGCAAAGAAAACAATGACTTTGAATTATTTCAGAAAATTTATGGTTCTTGTGAGCATATGTGTCAACTAAAACTGAATAAGGAAAACGAAGAATTTCCAAGCCTTGGAGTTCTGCTTTATTTGTCTCTGTCTGTTGGAACCTTGACATTATGTTTGATAGCTTGAATATGCAGATACAATTAGAGAAGATTTGGACATATTCATTACTTGCTACAATATCTGTAAAGACTTGCATGCATAAAATATGCTTAAGAGTCTATATACAATATGGACTGGTTTCCGTTTAGATCAGACATGTCAAACACAAGGCCCGGGGGCCAGATGGGGCCCGCAAAGTGGTTTCATGTGGCCTGCGAAGCCATCCTGGAAGGGAACGGCCCCTGCTGCCTTGGCCCTGGCCTAGGCTGGCCAGGAGCCAATGTACAATTTTGTGGTGGCCATCTATGCTGAAACAAATTCAGTCTTAGCTCCACAAGGCCGTCTAGAAACAGCGAGGAACCAGCCCCTGCTGTGTCAGTTCCGCTCTCTGGATACATGCTGGAGAGTTGTCACCCTTTGTGAGGAATGAAGAAATGGACCATGCCTTGGCGCTTGTCCTGGTCTCACCCCCTTCTGCCAGAGACCCTCAAATCTGTCCCAATCTTGCCCAGGCCCGCACAGGCACCCTTGATGCAAACGATGTAGAGCTGCCATGCCCACCCAGTAGGCCACACCCACTCCATCCATGCCTACCCAGTAGGCCACACACCCCCACCCCAAGGGCAACCGCAATGCTGATGCGGTCCTCAATGCAATTGAGTTTGACACCCCTGGTTTAGATAATGGCAACAAATAATGAAAAGACATTTAAAAAAAGATTCAAGTTATCAAGAAATAGTCTATGTCAGTGGTTCTCAACCTATGGGTCGTGACCCCATTTGGGGTCGATCGACCATTTCACGGGGGTCACCAAGCAAGGCTGTCTGCCATTTTTTTCCCCTTTTCCGGCGGGTGCCTTACCTCTCTTGGGCTGGGCCAGCTGGTGGCCCAGCCAGTGGTCGGACTGCTCCATTTCTGCTGCTTGCCAGATGACCAGTTTAGTCCTCAACTTACGACTGGTTTAGTCCTCGACTTACGACCGGTTGGGGGTCGCGGCATTAAAAAGGTTGGGAACCACTGGTCTATGTGTATCCACTTTAAATGTTTTTATTTTTCTAACTTCAAAAAAAGAAAGCCTCACAAAGATTTTATTAAAACAAAAGATTTGATCTAAATAAGACCAGTTTGACTTTAGGTGTCCACAGTATGTTTTATAAATTAGTTCAGTGTTTTCGATGACTTGATTGCTTAAAAAGCAGAAATTGCCAAATGCTGCCAACACAATACTATTTGGTGCAATCTGTTTCTTCATTCAGTTGAAAACAGTTGTTATATATGTATGTGGGAAATATATCGGAAAAATCTATTAATTAGTTTCTGTTAATCAGATTTTAAAAACTGATTATATTGAAAGCACTAAGATTTATCAAACTATATTAGTGCTCTTTTATGAAGGAATGGGATTTAATTGCAAATTAATCTTCAAAAAAATGTAAGCATGGAAGTTAGCAACTTCATTTTATTTCCTCTTATTTTTTAAAAAGGACATATAAAAGCAGTTGTGATAATAGCATATTTATTTTGATTAATACCTATGGGCATATAACTATAAATGTCATATACCAGTGATGGCGAACCTTTTAGAGACCGAGTGCCCAAAAACTGGCCCTGACCCTGGCCTGCCCACACCCACTCTGCCCACACCTACCCAGCCACCCACTGCCTCCATGGCCCACTGCCCAGGCAGCCCAGCAGCGCCATGGCAGCCATGCCCTCCGTCCGCACCCCACAGCATCATCTGTGTGCAATGGGACACGAGGGCGGAGTCTTCTCCCCGCTGCCTGCCCGCCATGTCCTTGGCTGCTCTGTTCTGTGCGGGCCACACTTGGGGGCAAATCTCCAGGGGGGCTACTGGTGAGGGGGCCATGGGGGGAGGCGAGACTGGGGCGACGGCACATGTGCCCACAGAGAGGGCTCTGAGTGCCACCTCTGGTACGCGTGCCATAAGTTCGCCACCACTGTCATATACAGTTATACCTTGTACTCCAGAAATATGCTTTTAATGATTGCATGTTTTTTAAGACCTCAAGCTTTATTTTTTTAAAAAAAAGGAAATTAATGCCTCCAGATGTTGTTGGATCTAGGTTTTGCATGCCAAAAATCATAATTCAATTAGAGGCATGATTGTTTACCTCTATTGAATATAATGGTAAGGTACAATTTAAAAAATAATTAATAGATGATCTATATGTAAAAATACTCCTCCCTTTTATATAATTATATTGTAGCATAAAGGAAACAGGGCCACCTATTTGCTAACTCAGTTGACTGTAGAAATTACATTTTTATAACAGTGATTTAAAAGTCAGTATTTATGTATGTAATGCAAAATAATTAATTGTGTGTCATTTTATTTAGAGGCAATGTTTCTTTTAAAACATTTTGTAAAATTGTAAATACTCTGCTTGGTTGATCTTCATATTTAGATTTTGTATACAAGTTTAATTAATAAACTATCATATAAGTATGCAGTATAGACTCATAATTGTCATCACTGTTGAGATTGCTTTCTATAATAATTGTCTTTTACATAAAGTAACTTAGTCCATGATAGATTTGCTAAGACATTTAGTCAGGATTTTCAAACCATAATAAATACATTTCATAGAAACACTTAGCCCTAATCAAACACATAGACTAACATAATATATCAATATTTTTCCTACTTGGCAACTTGCTAACTGGCAAATTCTTGGACTTTGTTCTCAGGCTTCCAGAATAGGTTATTACTCATTTTTTGAGTAAAAGAACATAAATGGTCTATAGCAGGGGTGTCAAACTGCCGGCCCATGGGCCAGTTTCATCATACCGAAGCTGCGCCCACCCCATTGCTGGCAATGCAAAAAGAGTCATGATATATCACAATATGTCACGTGACATGGAGAGTGACACCCATGGTTTATAGATTTGCCTAAAAGGCTCCTTGCTTGTCTCACTGGGCTTTCATATTGATAGTCATAAAGAGGTTTTGTAGGTTCCAGTGAACCTTGTTTCATAAATGGCATGAGTAAGACCTAATAAAGATTTCTCACATTGTATTACAGGCCAAGGGTACATTCTTGAACACTCTTTGGAATGTGTAAAAGTGAATTAGCGAATATATCAATCTGTCCTGAAAATGATTAGTTCCTTTTGTCAGATCCTTTACATGCAGATCAGATTTATTTGTATAGATTCAGCGAACTATCACAAAACAGAGTTAGCTGCATCTACACTCGCAGTATTTACCTCAGATCTAGATTATATGCATAAAACAAACTAAAAATTCTGGTTATGTGCCAGTGACAAGGCTTGGTTCTAACTTGTTTGTCACCTTATGTCAATTCTAAAATCTTTCTGACCTCTTGGAAGCACAACTGGGGATTTCACAAAGCTTGTTATTTTTGTAATTTAATGAACACCTGCATTCTGAATTTCTTTTCAATGTCATATAAATGGAAAAAAAACTTAAAAGAGATAACTTCCTTGTTGATTAACCTAGACTAAGGTTATTTCGATATCTCTGCAACAGTAAATTACTTGTGATTATTCATGGCAATATAACTTTTTAAAAATCATTTGGCAAGCACTTTAGAAAGCATTTGTGGTTTTCACTGTGCCTGCATTTCTGCATAGCTTCTTGAGAAAAACATGTTTTAAATTGACCTAAATAAGTAAGTAAACCTACACCAATTACCCAACAGTGTCCTATGTTAGTGAAGTAGTTTGTTAATTTATTTTAGGCCAGAATGTAACATACATTAAGCTGAAATTAGAATGACTTACTCAAATGTATGCAAAATATCCAGTTTTGCATAGAAGTTTGAGAGTTATTCTAGATATTGTCATTGATAAATAGGCAAATATTATAAGTTGACATACAGTGCTTGAGTTACATGATCTAGATCACGGGTGTCAATCATGGCGTTTTTGCATTACCAGAGTTGGGGTGGGCATGGCCTTCGCATGATGCAACCAGCCCATGGGCCAGCAGTTTGACACCCCTTGATCTAGATCAGACATGTCAAATCCTCTGGGAGTTATTTGTTCATTATTTGGTTCGGTTTGGGTATAGCTTTTTTGTGTAGATTGGAGTTTGGCTAGAGTTGCCTCTAAGTCCCTTACTTTTTCCTCTAGTAGTATACATAGTTTACATCTAATACATGTATAATTTGGGTGTTCTTTGGGTATAAGCACATACATGGAACATATATTGCATACCACAATAGTATCAGTCACCTATTCCATGAGTTTGTTGTTTGAAAATCCCTCATTTTGGTTGGTAGATGTGCTTGGCTGTTAGTCTTGTTTCTTCCTTCTCTGTTCTAGGTAATTATGCCTATTTTTTCCTATACTTTTTTCTGCCTATTTGTACCTTGTTATTTATTTAACCTTCTTACCATTATGTTAATTTTATTTATCATTTTCTTCTCTCTATTTTTTTAAAGATTTTGAGCTCCATTTCCTCCCTGCCTTATTATTTAAGATTTGCTTTGTTAAGATTTGCCACTCTATTAGTCCTATTCTTCCTTGTTTTCTTTCTTGTTCCACTCTTGTCTTTATTATTTGCTTATTTATTTAGCTTTTGTTTTCTGTCCTGTAATTATTTTTATTCTTTACTGGGGTCTTCCCTCCCTTCCTATAGGGACCTCAAACTTAATTGTTGCCTTCACTTCCATTGCTTGCTGCTCCACCCTTTTGTTGTTTTCTCTGCCAGCTCCGTTCTGTCTTTTGGTACTCATCTCTGCTCTGGGGAGGCCTCTGTTCAGCTGTGCTGTCTGGTCTGCTCCTCTCACCCGGCTACTTTAGAGATCAGAGCTCTTTAGCTCAAAGCGTCTATGTTGCTGCTGCTGCTACGTTTCTCCCCTCCACAGATTTTGCCACCACCAATTTCTCACAGCCAACGGATTGCTCCAGGCCCTTTGTCTCCTCTGCCAGACCAGATGGGCTGCCAGGCTAGCAGAAGGTGAGGGAGGGGGCTGCTGATCTCACTGGGGAAGGAATGTTGATCAAGTCTTCCACCTGGGGCAAGTCACTAGGTGGGGTGTGAGGCTGGAAGGATGGTTGTGGTATTTGGGGTGCCTCTAGTTTGCTGGGTCCTGGGTTGGGCTGCCTGCCTGCCCCCTCCAGCTGGGCTGCCTAGATTGAGGTATGGGTATAGGCAATTAGTCAATATACTGTGGCCCACTGGTTCACGGCTTACAACAGTCTCCCACCCTGTGGGAGCCACCTGCTGTTCAGCTGCCGGTTCGCTGCTCTCAGTTGCCTTTTTCTACCAGCTTTGAGCTGCTTAGTTGTGCTTCTGAGCTGAATCTCTCATTCTCTGCTGCCGGCTGCCTCTGACTCCACGTGCAGCCATTCATTCACTGTGCTCCTGTTTGCTGGTGTTTTCCTCCTTGTCCCAATTTCTTTTTTTCCTTTATCCTTTCTATCTTCCTTATCTAACTTTCTGCTTCTTTTTTATCCCTTCCCCCCCCCCTCTTAGTACCTTCCTACTGTTGAAAGAAAAGTCTTCATCCTGGTTCATCCAAGCCGGGGATAAATAAACATAAGA